AGACGTATACATTTACAGAGAACAAATCTACCGACGCAGTCCATATGCTTACTGAAGAATGCAGCACAAACAAGAGAAAATGGAGCAGAGAGAGCGACAGAGACGAACTGCTTATGTATGTATACATAAATGTATATATGTTTGGGGAGAGAGAAACTATGGAAAACATAAACACAATGGTTGAGCAGCCAAAAAGGATACAAAGAAACACTACCTGATAATTCCAGTCAGTAATAGCCAGAAATTGACAAAATCTGATCAAGTTCTCCGGCGAATTCTCCGTCGATTGTGCGACACAAAAAGCCCCAATGCCGTCCTATACAAGTTTTGCAGTCTATGAGCTCGGACTTCAAAATATTTGACAGTCGTAGATGTGACGTTAGAAAGACACAATCGTATAGAACCAGAGTAGCGGGTCCAGCTAGTGCATGTCGCTTTTCCGCAGAATCTTGTACGGTGGTAACAATTTTTTTTTTTGCTTTTTTTTTTTAAAAAAAATTTATCTATTAGAAGAATAAAAATTATTTTACTTTTTTAATAAATAAATAAATATATTGGTTACTGTAAATGAGACGACTATCCTTCATTTTTAATATATGAATTTATATTTCATTTTTTATTTTCACATTGAATTAATTTAAAATTGATGTATTATCTAATTTAGGTGTTGTTTTATTATTCAATTTTGCTATTAATTAGAACAAATTAAACGTTTATCTAATTAAATACGTTTAATAACACAATTTAAAATTTAAGTGACAAGATCGTCACTTATATTTTTTAGTTACCGCTTAAATAAAATTCAATTCTTAAAATTTTGAGTATTTATATTTTAATTTTATTAAATACCACCTTAGCCTTTTGTTCTTAGTATGGCAAGTGCCTGGTATTTCAAACTGTGCTAAGTTTTTGTTCTTATCTCAATAAAATTATTTAATCTTTTTTAATTAACATATTAGCTACTATAATAAAAGTGATTATACTTTTTCTTTAGCACATAAATTATTAGTTTCGGACCAAGAATTTGCGTGAGGGGATCAATGGTAAATAATTTTTTGTAATTTCAGGGGGACGATATAAAATTTTCATTAATATGCAAGTCATAAAAATTACTAATCTAAAACTATAAACTATACAAAAACCTATACAAATCATTACCAAGATGATATATACTGTGTATATATACACACACCCGTACAATTGCACACACATTGACACCACTTGTGCAAAATTTATTTCGCTTAAAAAACAGGACTGACGGTGAATTGAGAGAACTGTCACAAATATGGAGAGTTGATATGGCTTTGTTCCAGTGGGATTGGGCACGTTCAAAGATTAACATATTACTCTCAAGTCTCAAGAGATATGGTTTGGTTAGATAGAAAGAAAATGCAATAAAATGTAAATACCGAAAGTAAGAGAAAGGGGTGTAAATTAAAAGTAAAAATATTCTTTTGAGCACCGTACTATAATTGAATTTGTTCTCCAATGAATCAATGTATGGTCCTATTATATTATGTGACATCACTGACATGTTTTATATTACTACGTATTAATATTACACTGTAATATGTATTATAATTTAATTGGATTTTAGTAGACTTGAATAGTTGTCAACAGTTCCTTTATTTTGAAGCCAGAATCAAATTATATAAGAATAGTTCAATTCGATTGGCCTGAAAAATAATAGCAAGACTTTATATATATATATATATATATATATATATATATATAAGGAATGAAATTATTTTATAATAACAAAATAAATTTGTCTAATAAAAAATATTTATATGAAATATGAAACCTCTCCTCAAAACTTAAGGTATAATTTTTATGTTTCCCACTCCATTTTTATATGATTAACAAACAATTCCAAATGGGTGTCCTACGCGGATATAATGAGTCCAACTAAAATAACAAGGATTTTACGCTGTATTTGATTGAATTTTTTGGGAATAAGTTGTGGTTCTTCAAAAATTGAAAAATATTTGAACTCGGTTTATTCTTTTTTGAAAATTATTTTTAGCTTAAAAATACCTGATTTAGATAATTGCATTTTGTAATTTTTAAAATTTTTCTATTTTTGAACTTGAAAACATATTTCAAAAAAACTCACCCAATAATCGTGAACGCGAATTGGTTGTAAATGATTGTAGATGATCGTGCCACGTCAAACTCCATGTGACACTATTTATTATTGAAAATACACCTGGTCAGTGCTGATTGGACCATGTCAGGACCTGCCTGACATTTCTCTAGAATAGCTTTGAGCTACTAGGTCGAGAATCAAGATGCTGAACTCACAAGAGGAAGAGGTCACCACCCTTACCTCTCCTGTGGAGGTAACCCCGCTCAAGTCGGATGGGTCTCGCCATCTTCTCTGAAGCTTTCCTCTGCAGAGGAAGCTTAAAACTAACTGTTCATCTCGAGCTCCCCCAACATAGGAGGAGCTCAGCTCGGGACCAAATAAGGCAAGTCCTATGCGATTTTCCTATCTCCTCCTGTTTCGCGGGAATCTGAGTATCAATGGTTAGGTGGCTGGGTTCCAAAGAATTGTCTCACCTCAAGGTCTACACAAGGGGAAGAGAATGTTTAATACCCAATAGCTGAGCTCGAGTAATAAAGACCACATAATACATTAAATATACCATTGATTGACTGTTAAGAGCTGCATTGAATACAGACCATCATCACTGCCTTGAAAAGTGCAGCGGCATGCCTCGGGCCGCCTGCTAGATGCCCCATATGTCAAAGGTCAGGTAAAGTGACCATTGGATAAAGAAGGAGCTAGCCCTCGTGACTAAGGGTCCTTACTTGGCAGAGTGTGTTGGGAAACGTGTAAGTTTTAAAACTTTTTGAGAAATTTTGATTCATAGATCATGATTCATCACATAGAGACAAGTTTTATGCAAAAATAAAATATGATGTATCATTCAAGTAACCGATTGAATACTTATATCAAAGGTCTGAGTAAACCTTTAAATCTTTCCTCTAAAGTGAACGTTCTCATTTATTGTAGGTCCCTTAGCAAGATGCCTTCTCCATAGATCTCCATCTTCTTGGTAATTGTTTTGCCTTTGGGAATCACTCATAAGCCTCCATGAGTGACCTTGGAAAACTAGGCTTATGGGAGCTTCCATTAGATGAGAACATAAACCCTAATTTTCTAAAGAGAGAAAATAAATTCATTTTTCCTTCTTTTAAAAATCACAAAAAAAATATACATAGACCATGTATATTTATAGGAAATATAAAGATAAAGAAAATGAAACAACAAATCCTTCTCAATCTCTAATTCACATGTCTCAAATCTAATATGATTCCAATATCAAGTTGGGCTATGAGTGAGAATCCATCAGGCCTATTATTTTATTGGTTACAATGAATTAATAATTGGTCCGGTCCATGGACCCAATTCAATTAATTCATAGATTAATTTTACTTCACTAAAAAAAATTAATTGAACTCCAATTAAATAATAAATAACCTCTAAGTCAATATTGCACTTTGACCCCTCTATGCAAAATTAGTTATCGGATAAATAAAGCCATCAATCCGACTACTTAATTAATATATTTATTTTGGTACCTTTGATTATTTTTGGCTCGATCACAATAAAACATTTGTTTGACAAAAATAATAATTTAAATAAATAAATATATAATAAATCATTTTGTCTAAAAACACACGAAGACCTTCGAATTTATTTTGTGATCAACCATAATCAATACAAAATAAATACAAGTACCAATGATGCAAATATTGAAAATATAACCCTCTAACTATTAATTACATAACTACCCAAAGTATCGGTCTAATGATCCCGAAAAATCCACCGAACAAATCAAAGTAATTATTAATTAATAAAAGAGTCTATACTTTTCTCATGCTTAAGAGTCAAATACCATGACGGTGATAGGGAGCAATTGCATACGACGGCTCTCGCAATATATCTCAACCTAACGCGGATCCAGTTCAAGTCTTAATTAATTATGATTCCATCCATAATTACTGACTATGAACAATTTATGATTACTATTTATATTCATGTATTGATCGCCATTACATATATATATAAATATCTCTTGTAATCAAGAGGACACTATCAATTCTATAATGAATCGAAACATAATACATTTAATTCACCAATTGTACAAAACATAAATATTTCAAAAACGTCAGGAACATATGTCACTTTAGTCAAAACAGGAATTTGCTATACCAGGACATATAAATCCCAACAGAGTGACCATTGGATAAAGAAGGGGCTAACCTTCATGACTAAGGGTCCTTACCCGAATGAAAGTACTATAAATAGGACTAAACTCTCATCATTTAGAGGGGTGGAATGCATATACAGCACCACAACAATAACCAAAGTTTTTTAGGACTTGAGCTATCATAGGGTGTTAAGGAAATCTATCTTTTCTCTCTCAACTCCTATACGGAAAATCTCGTTGTGCTAGTTTGGAGTTCCACTCAGCCTCTGATCTCATTATTCTCGACAGACATGAAATGATTTCCTCAACTTATCAAAAACATGTATCAACAATGATCATATCCCGTCAACATTGGGCCTAATAACAGAAGTAAACAACTGAGTTAGAAACCATCGGCTAAACCATTGACTTGATTATCAATTTTTATCTTATTTTTTAAATAAAATTATTTTTAGAGTGATTAAAGAAAGAAATATACTTATACGGAATTTAACTCTAATAAAAGTTAGGAATTTAGGCCTTGTTTGGTATGTGTAATGTTCTGTGGTGTAGTGTTCTAGGCCCGTTACAGTACCATTATTGAGGCCCAAAACATATTTGACACGGCCTGTGTTGGTTTCAACAGTGTCTAAACAATTTCTAAAAATGGGCCAAAAGTTGGAACAAGAATATGGTGTTCTGCCTTGTTCCAAAAATTTGACCAGCCCAGTTTTCACTGTAGCGGGTGTAACAAATGCCAAAACTTGTTCTGATTTGAGAACATATGTATAAATAGAAATTGCAACAATGTTCTAAGGCTAGGGTTATATCGCGCAGCTGAAGGCGATTCGGCTACTCCAATATGCACAACGTCGTCGACTCTAGTACGCAGAACGTCGTCTTCTTCTCACTGGTGAGCTCATATGGTTCTTCTTATATCATGTTTAACATACTTATCCTTGTTCTCTCTCTAAATTCGGCTACTCCAATATGCACAACGTCGGCGACTCCAGTACGCAGAACGTCGTCTTCTTCTCACTGGTGAGCTCATATGGTTCTTCTTATATCATGTTTAACATACTTATCCTTGTTCTCTCTCTAAAATTTCGACGGTGTCTGAAGATTGGGCTTGAAATCGACGACTATGTATGAAGATCTGAAGAGCTCTCTCTTCATCGCGTCTCTCTCCACTCTCGGATTCTCTTCTCTCTTTCTCTGGCCGATTTACGCCAACGAGAAACGTCGGCAGCCCTCTGCAACTTCCAGCGAGCTCCAGTCTTCTTCTCCGGCCATGGTTTACCAAGAAAATTTCCAAAATCTTCCCAAGCTCTCTCTCTATTTATTCATCTCTCTCATCTCGGGTATGTTGAGTTTTCTTATAATTGTGTTTTTAATTTTTATTTTATTTTATGTTGTTTGATATTTCATCTTTGTATATATATGCACCTTAAATTGAAAACTGAAAAATCAACACAAACTGAAAAACAAAAAATTGAAAAAACATTATAATTGTTTTGTTAGGAAGGAAAATTAAAAGTTTGAGAGAATTATTTTTCATAACTACCTAATTTTTTTGTAAAATTTTTCTTAAAAAAACACAAATTTTCTTTTTAAAGTGAAAGTCTTATGAACTCACAATAACACCCTTTCTGTTATTGTAAGTTTCATGTTATTATTAAAACCATACAATGGTAATTTTTTCATATTTTTATTGAAAAAAATTCAAGCTAAACAAAAACAGAGTGTTATTATTTTTTTATTTAGTTTATGTTTTTTGACTTATACTTTTTCACTATCAATTTCCGTAATACAATATACAAAGAAACTTGAACATGGGTCGATCTCACCTCACCAAGTAGTGGATGATCCAAAACTATCCAATAATGTCTAGATCCGTACACATACTACTATGGGAATTTTTTTTTTTTTTTGACACTACTATGGGATTAACCTATTTATGATATTCCCTTTCTTGCGACTCAAAAACCAACCAACAATGAACAAACGCAGGGAGAAGATCTGTTACACATGCACTAGTATTATACTAGACAATTATAGTATGCTTCAAACTGAAAAACAGATAATTGGAAAAACACTATAATTGTGAGCACAAAAACTGAAAAACAAAAAATTGCATATATTGATTTCAGTACTTTGTAAGCACAAGAACAGGTACACTGTACACTGATAATTCTGATTTATTGAGTTCAATGTAAAAGAATTAGATTTTGTAGCTTTGGTCATTAATATAGTTACGGATTATGAATTGGTTTAATTGTTTTGCTCACTTCAAATGACTTTGGATCAATGTGATGATAGTACATAAGTTTTTTTTTTTCCACTAATGTGTTGCATATATATATGTATGGAATAGAAGTTGGTTTAGTACTATATGCTCCAATTTAAAATTAGATTGATTTTAAGGAATGCTATGCCTAAAGAACTCATAATTAATTTCTTTATTCCTGATACGAGTCATTTTAAAAATCTCACTCAACATGCATAATTTATCTCTGACAAGAAGGTGCTTTAATTAAGTGCTTTCAATTTTTAATATGCCAAATATTTTCTCTTAGAGGAAAATTGTGCAGTTCATTATGGCTATGGATCATTTATCATTTGAGCTTTAGATACACTTCAGCATAAACTGATATAATATTGTAATGTTATTGTGCTATTGGATGCCATATATATATGTGTGTGTGTGTGTGTGTTTTGTGTCTATTCTTCTATGAATGGATGGCTGTTATATATACATGTTGAGATGGAAATTAAAAACATGAACTGTGATGTGAATTGTGCTTCAAAATTAAGATATGATGTTGAAATTTTACCGAACTTTTTTCATTACATATATGTTTTTGAAAGTTTCGAATTCTGAGATGAGTTTGTGAATTTGATTAATGAGACCACACTTGTGTACTGCTAGAATGATGAAACATGAGTTTATGAATTTGATTAATGAGACCACAGTTTTTAATGACCATTTTAACCCATTTATATTAAAACTATGTAATTAGATGGATATTAATGGTGACAATGTGGTGGGAGAAGAAATATAGGACCTTACAGACAATACCGGTGATGCAAAACTAGTATGGGATGATTCTCAGCTTGAAACTTTCATCATCCATATGGAGGAAGAAGTGAAGATTGGTAATCGGACTTCCAGAACTTTTATCACAATTGGTTGGAAGAATATAGTAGAAGGCATGAGGGTTCATACAGGGAAGAAGTATGCACCGAAACAACTTAGGAGCAAATTCGACCACTTGAGGGTAAAGTACAAAGACTTTGTGAGTTTGTTAGCAGAAACAGGCGTGGGATATAATGCTGAGACGGGCATGGTTATAGTTGAAAAAGAAAGATGGCCTAGGTTGATGAAGGTTAGTTATTCAAATAAATGTATATTAACTTTACAAATGTAGACTTAACTTAATATTAATAGTACTTTAATAATTTGTAGGTGAATGAAAATGCGAGTAAGTTTCGAAAGAAGGGATATAAACATTTTGACAAGCTCAGCATCATATTTAGAGGCACACACGCTACAGGTGCACATGTCCATACTTCGACTAATTCACCCATTATCAGCCAAGCCCCCTCACCCCATGCAGCTATACATAGCTCATTTGAAATTGATGATTTAGCTGAGTTAGACAGTCATGAGATCAGTCCCTCTCCTGAACCTCGTGGTAAGAAACCAAAGAAAGAGAGTTTTGCCTCCACAATGAGCGATGTCATGGATAAAACGAAAGATAATGATAACATGAAAGCTAATCGAATTGAAAAGGTTATAAAAGAAGCCTCATCATCTAGTATGAAAACATTCCATGACGAATGTCAGGTTGAAGTAAATTCTTTGGACAAGACAAAAGATGATTTTAAGTTATGTTGTAGTATTTTGAATCAATTGAAGGGCGTTGATATGAAACAATATGCTAAGGTCATCTAGATGTTACGTAGTGATGAAATTTGGAGGGATTTCTTTATGAATGACCTTCCTGATGATAAGAGGGTTGGTTAGATCATGAATCTTTGATTTGGTGTGTTGCTTTTATTATGACTTTGGATGACTGTACTATTAACTATACTTTATTTGGTGTGTTACTTTTATTTCTTATTTGGTTTTGTTATGACTTTAGATGATTGTAATATCAAGTACACTAGTATTTAGCTTGGGATGATTGTAATAACAATATCAATATTTGGCTTGGGATAATTTTATTTGGTGTGTTGCTTTTATTTCTTATTTAGTATTTGCCTTGGGATGATTGTAATTTATGTCGTTTCTTACATTTTGTATTATACAGATGGATATTAGGACAATCATTGAGTTGTATGATGATGATGACGACGAGAATGAATCTATCATCATAATGGCATGTATGTTGGATTACTAAATGAAACACTACCATAAACAGCCTTGTAGGGATTCAATTTTAAGAGGGGAAGCATATATATTGGAGATCTTGAATGGGCATAGAAGTAGATGTTTTGAAAATTTTAGGATGTCCACCCTTATTTTTTTGAAGTTGTGTGGGGAGCTTAAGTCATTAGGGTTGAAAGACTCTAAAGGTGTAAGTGTTTTTGAACAAGTTGGCATATTCTTGCTTACTTTAGCTCACAATGAAATGAATCGTGTAGTAGCAGAAATATTTCAACACTCAACCTATACAATTTCAAAACACTTTCATTTGGTTTTACAAAATGTGTGTGATTTAGGGAAAAAGATTATTGTCCCTCCAGATTTAACCCAAATTCCTAACTATATAAGAAAGTCAAAAAAGTTCTACCCTTTTTTTTAGGAATTGCGTAGGGGCAATTGATGGAACTCATATCTATGCAAACGTGCCTGTGGACCAACAAATACCATTTCGTGGTAGGAAGGGGGATACCACACAAAATGTAATGGTTGTTTGTTCATTTGATATGATGTTCACATACGTTGTAGCAGGATGGGAGTGGTCTGTTAATGATTCTAAAATATTGAACGAGAGTATTAATAATGAAAATATGCAATTCCCACAGCCTCCAGACAGTAAATGTCATACTATTTATAATTTTTTAATGTATTTTAAATATAATGGTACAATTGTTTATAATTTGTAAAATGGCAAGAAAATATTATTTGGTAGACTCTGGGTATGCCAATCAACCGAGTTTCTTAGCTCCCAGCAGGGGTCAATGGTACCACTCCCAAGAGTACCGTAGGGCTTCTAGGCAACCCCGAGGTAGAAAAGAAATATACAATCACAGGCACTCGTCTTTGCTAAATATCATTGAACGTTGTTTTAGGATGCTTAAGATGAGATTCCTTATCTTGAAACAAATGCCCCCATATAAGTTTGAAACTTAGGTTGCTATTGTTTTACACTGCTGCACACTTTATAACTTTATAAGAATGTCAACGCAAATAGATGCAATATTTGATGATGAAACTGTGGAGGCGCTGATAGATGAAATATTTGACGATGAGAATGATGATGTTTAGGTTGATGTGCCGTAGCCTCAGTCGCGACCAATGGATATTTTACGTGATCATATTGCTAATATTATATGGAATACAATTCAGCACCCTTGATGTTTATCATGTTTGGATAACTGTAATAACTACTTCATTTTAACTCTTTTTAAGGATTTGGATAACTGTAATAACTACTTTATTTTGTGTAACGACTCGAACCTGTGGGTCCGAACCATTAACCTGGTCCTTACCCGAACCTGAGGTCAACTAGGTCATACTCTCTACCTCCTATGTCCATAGTTGTCATAAGGGTCACTCCGGGGTTCAAAATAACCTAGAACATAATCTTACAATGATGGTCAAACATTGCAGGTCAAAAGGGGATGATCAGTTGGCTGATGGGCCTTCATCGGTCGGTTGACAGGGGCAAGTTCAGTCGGCTAACCTACAGGGTCAGGTCGTTACAAATTTGGTATCAGATCAATGGTTCGAAAACCATTAGGACGGCGCGTAGAGGCCTACCTAGGGCTATGTGGGAAGTCATTTGCATTATTTATGTGACTATGTGCTAAAGTGTTTTGTTATTTGAAAAGCAAGCTTAACTATTTACTTGTCTACATGTTTATATACTCACGGTTTTGAAAGACGTGCTTCCTTGCAACGTGTTTGCATGTTTATATGTTTATATGCTAAGGTTTATGTTACATGGCCATGTTCGAGGAATAGTTAGATGATCTAACCGTGTAAATGAAATGTGAAAGAAAAGAAAAGCATGTTGATTGTGTATGAGGAATATGGCGACGGAAGTGGTAGGCATGGTGTGTGCAGTGCTAATGTGACAAGTAATGAGCATGGTATATGCCAACGTGTTTCATGTAGTATTATGGGTTTCATTCATTTTGTATACATATATGGCTTTGTTTTTATGTGGTTATATGGTTAAGTATCGGTGTGATATCCCCTAATTTCGGAACAAGAGTTGATCAAGTTCACGCACAAAACCAGGGAATATCAAAACAATTAAAGTATTTAAACAAGCACATAATGCAAAGATGAATAATAAATAACTGAATAAAACTAATAAATAAATATTTCATTAGTTAATAATTCTCTAACAATTACAACTCGAGAATCCCGTAACTCGATCACTTAAAACATTATCCAATAATCCAATACTACTTAAAAGTACACAAGATGAATAGATGAATAGCAGTCTTCCAACTGCGGATCCTCAACCTCGAGACTGGAACTTCTAATAGCCTAAAAAATAAATTGTAGGTTAAACCTTACGAGCAAGTTCTCTCTACCAGACCTTTGAAAACCAATAAATAGATCATCTCTGATCAAAACTAAACATAATAAAATTTTAAGTTTAATAAACAATGATACGCATATGTATAAATAATTATATACAGTATAACAATCACATCCATTAATAGTTTCATTAATTTTCAAAATCATTAAATCATGATTAAAACATAATCATACCTAAACCAATTCAAAACTCCTTCTCTTTTAAAGAGAAACCCCTTTAACCTTAACTTCATTTTAAATAATTATTTAATCATTTAAATAATAAAATATAATTCAAGGAAAATTATATTTAATCCAAAAGCCAATAATGAATTTAATTATTTAAACCATACTGTCAATACCTAGGCTTTGACAAATCATCCATGTCTCTACCAATATTAGTTTATTAATATATATAAAATAATACACTAACATGTAACTACTAGATTATTCTAATTTAAGAATATCTAATCATAATCTAACTTATACATATAATAACCATAGATGCAATTTAAACATCTAATACCCATAGCCATTAACTTATGCTTTGACAAATCAACCATGCCATTATAAATATATTTATTTATATATTGGTAACTCAACCATGCCTCCTTAAGTATATATATTTATACTTTGGCAATTCAACCATACCTCCATAAGTATATTTATTTATATATTGGCAATTCAACCATGCATCCACAAGTATATATTTTATACTTTTAAACTAACAACCTATCCATGCTTCCTATGTATGTATTTTATTCATATAAATACTTAGGCAATATATTTACGCCTATGACAACTCATCCATGCCTATAACTTAATTATGTATCAACTTTAAACTTAACAGTAAGTTAATTCATACATAAACATCTCCCGCAAATTATAAGCATATCACAAATTTGCTAACCAGCCTCTCCAGATATATCAAATAAAAATAATAATAATAATTATCTTAATTTATATATATATATATATATATATATATATATATATATATATATATACACACACACTCGCATACACATATATTATATAATATATAAATATGTATAATACCATCCATAATAATCTTTGATGATTTAAATCATACATATACATATATATCAATATATATATGCATACATCCCTCCATACTTATCTTAAACAATTAAACCATATATACACATATATAAATAATTATATATATAAACATATATGTATATACTTCCTTCCATAACAATATATTAATTTAATTATATTTACGTAATTTAAATGCTACTAAATATCGTCAGAAATAGTTTCCCATAAATACCCTATCTCGGTAAATAATTTTCCGATACCGTCTCACTAAACGTAAATATCTCCTAGTATGATGGGAATCTGATAATGAAATTGGTACCATTGGAAAGAGGATGAAAAATCCTTGAATTTGAGCTAAAAAATGACCCAATTTCGATTTAAAATGATTGAGTTATGATCGTTTCAATGTTAAGTATCAAAACAGGCCAACATGGATTTCCCACGCGCTGAATCCAACCTCCGTGTGTGCTGGCACGTTCTTATTGGTTGAAGTATTTCAGCTACTGTGAGCTCGCCAAATTGAATCCATCACTTCATTTATGCCGCATCCAATGGTCATAAATCCGTACACAAATGAACACGCCCACACTAGATTATTTTCTGTTAACTAGAATATATCTAAGGTCCAGATCAGCGAGTGCACCATCTTCTCATGTTCTGTGCTACACCAGATAATTCCACAATGGACTAGACCACTTCTATGGACCAGATGCACATGCGCACCAAACTTTCATGCGCCGCTATGCACTATATCAATCCATATAAGTTTACTTAATCCTATGGCCCTGATTGGCGTGTACACCTACTTATCCTACACCGCGCTGCACAAGATTAAACACCTATGTATAGACTCCTATGCGCCGAATGCAACATCAGCCTCCAGTTTATATAAATGGTATATATATAATTGCCCAGAATAATTTTCAAATATTATAATAATATCAGAAAAATAAAAAACAAATCCCGAAAAAATCCTAGAAAATTCCCCAAAAATACTAGAAACTCTAGAAACCATAATTACCCCTATTAGGTCAAAGCTCAACCTATAAATTAATTTTAAAAATATATACAACACTTATATATACAATTAAAATCTAATAATCTAAATATAAAAATAAAAATAATTTATGCTTTTAATTATTCCGATCTAACCATGATTTTAAACAAATAAATTTAATCTAAACTTTGATACTCAAGGTGAAATCTTTATAAGTTCTAAGAGGAAAGTTAGAGAAGAACTCGTTTGAAGGTTTCGAAACGAAACCGACGTTTCAAGCTTCAATTGTCTCTTCCAATCCAACATCCTCTTTCTCTGATCCGGCCTCTTCTTTGTCAGGCTTCTCCTCTTCTCTCTCTCTATCTCTTTTATTTTTCTAACGTGTAAGCCTTTAACTATAAAACTTTATGTGTATATTTATACACATTAAAATCCAAATCATATTTCTAGTAGGACTACCAAATAAAATAATAAAAAAAATAATTATCTTAAATAATATATATATATATATATATATATATATATATGCAAAGATAATTACTTAAATATCTTTATAACCATGGGCCCTTATTAATTAATCCAACAAGGCTTCATTCAAGCCCAAGACCATATCCATAGGTCTCACTCCTCTTAAGTCCAAACCCATTAACTTAAATAAATAAAATAATTAAATTAAATCTAATAATTACAAATAATTAATTATCAATTCACACAAGCATAAATACATAAATTACAAATCAACAATTCAATCATACTGTTTCACAAATCAAAACATCAAACCAATTCATCAAATATAATGGCGAAATATAATTTAATACAAATAAGAAAATTAAATCATAACACTCAATTAACTAAAACAAATCATTTTAAAAAAATAAAATAAAATAAAAGAAATTAATCCCAAATAATTTAAACAAATCATTTAAAAATAAAATAAAAGTAATTAATCTCAATTAATAAATCCTTTAAATTATTGGGGTATTACAATTGGGATGGTTGTTAGTATGGTAGGGTACTTGTCACGGCATTAAGGATTATGTAAGTTTTGACTTGAGTAGGCGAGGAGCTCGGTTGCTCAGGATTGTTTGGGTGCCGGTTCTTATCGAACTAATGGCATGGGCTTCTAGCTCGTGGATTGAGCTATTTAGCATATAGTCATCCTGATCTTCTTAGTTGCATTTTGTACGGTGCTTAGAGCATGGCTTTAGAACGGATTCATATTTTATGGCAAAGTGCCCTTGTTGTGTGTGAGTTTCATGTATTGGTGTATGGTTTTGGTGACCGTGGAGGTCAAGTGTACGAGTGAAGGTTTCGGTATGACTTTAAGAGGTTGGTGTTTGCGACTTAAGTCATGGTTTGGTGTGGAGGTTCTTTTCGAACCAATCATAGTATGTGTGACGAGGGTTGATTGAGTCACAAATATAGTCTGTGGATTGTAAAGGTGTATCTCGAGCATATTGGAACGGCTTAAAGAAGTGTGTTGGTTTTGATTGTCATGAGAATTTGTTGGATCCTGTAGGTTTATGGTGATTTAGGACCGGTTGTCAGATGTAGATCATTTCATGGTCTTAAAGGAATCTATATTGGAGACTGGTTTATCGGGGAGTGGTTCTCATTTAGGATAGTTATAAGGGCATGTTGCGGGTAATCGACTCTCGGTGAGTTTGTTGCATGGCTTGGTCGATGAACGGGGTTTTGGGTTGGCACGGTTGTCTAGAGGGTCTCGATGTGAGGTATTGTAGTCAGTTTTAGCTGTGTAGTGCAAGGTTGCACGATAAGACAGGTAATACGGGGTTCTTGGAGTGCTTGGTTGTTTATGGGTGAAGTGATAGCTGGTGAGTATGTGTTATCAAATGAATTGTGTTCTAGAATTTGAAAGTTATGGACTTGGGTTGTATTTTAGATTGCGTCTGGTGTATCAAGAGTTAGTGCTTGTTGTTTGAGGATTCTAAGAGATAGACTAATGATTGGAGTGATTGGGAAGAGGTTGATTTTGTAGATTGGTAGCCATTTAATTTTTGTTGGGGCTAAGAGTGTTCTAAGGAATAGTGAAGAAGAGAGGTAGTGATGTTTAAATCTGGAGTGTGAGGTTTTCTCATTTAGCCACGTAGATCGCCTTATAAAGAGTGGTTTAAGTAGTTGGTTAAGTATTAATGATTGAGTGCATTATTGGTGGTTTGGAGAAGACTGTTGGGTGTTGAGCATTCTGAGATTGTTCTCATTTTATTTCGAGAATTTGTCGGCATGGCATTGCCGTATGGAGGATTTTTTCTAATGGTAAATAGTGGTTGTTGTGAGGAGTATCGAGAGTTATGTTTGTTCTTTTGTTGCGATGATATTATCTTAAGGATGTTCGAGGG